TTTATTACAATAAATGCCATGAATAAAATGCATAGACAAATGAGAAGAACTAAGTGTCTAAAGATGCACCCTTATAAAATGATTGATGTTTCCTACAGCTTTACTATTACAGATATTTTGAAAATTTGGGCCAGACTCATGGTACACTTCTGCAACGTATTAATAAACCTGGCTCAGGTTAAGCCACGTTTATGGCTGCTTTTCAATCCCAGAGTGAAACAAAGCAGCTGGAGCATTACTGATGAAACTGTCCCTTAATTAACTCATTCATCCTTTAGCTGCTTTCATCAAGACTTTTCCTTTAGTGCTGTATCAATGGTATTAGAGCTCTGAGCTTCTCCACATAACCCGAAAACCAGCTTTGACACAACACTGAAGCAAACACTTTGGTGGCTATAGCTGCCAACTAGATGGAGTAAATGCACATTAAAGTTTGTCATTACAATAGGTAGTATGAGTTTAGGAAGACTGCTTGAATGAGAAAGCTATGAGTAGTTTATGCAGATGATCCACACACACACAAAAAAAGATACCAAACTGCACCATCATATATGTTCCTTAATTCACATATTTTAGAATAGTGGAAAAGCAACATCATTTGCCCCATAACCTCAGCCGTGCAGAACACAGTGCCATCCACAGCCTCAGAAACAACTCTGACATCATAATCAAAAAGGCTGACAAAGGAGGTGCTGTCATCATCATGAATAGGTTGGAATATGAACAAGAAGCTGCTAGGCAGCTCTCCAACACCACTTTCTACAAGCCATTACCCTCTGATCCCACTGAGGGTTACCAAAAGAAACTACACCATTTGCTCAAGAAACTCCCTGAAAAAGCACAAGAACAAATCCGCACAGACACACCCCTGGAACCCCGACCAGGGGTATTCTATCTGCTACCCAAGATCCATAAACCTGGAAATCCTGGACGTCCCATCATCTCAGGCATTGGCACGCTGACAGCAGGATTGTCTGGCTATATAGACTCCCTCCTCAGGCCCTACGCTACCAGCACTCCCAGCTATCTTCGAGACACCACTGACTTCCTGAGGAAACTACAGTCCAATGGTGATCTTCCTGAAAACACCATCCTAGCCACTATGGTGGTAGAAGCCCTGTACACCAACATTCCACACAAAGATGGACTACAAGCCATCAGGAACAGTATCCCTGATAATGTCACGGCAAACCTGGTGGCTGAATTTTGTGACTTTGTCCTCACCCATTACTATTTCACATTTGGGGACAATGTATACCTTCAAATCAGCAGCACTGCTACGGGTACCCGCATGGCCCCACAGTATGCCAACATTGTTATGGCTGACTTAGAACAACGCTTCCTCAGCTCTCGTCCCCTAATGCCCCTACTCTACTTGCACTACATTGATGACATCTTCATCATTTGGACCCATGGAAAAGAAGCCCTTGAGGAATTCCACCCTGATTTCAACAATTTCCACCCCACCATCAACCTCAGCCTGGACCAGTCCACACAAGAGATCCACTTCCTGGACACTACGGTGCTAATAAGCAATGGTCACATAAACAGCACCCTATACCGGAAACCTACCAACCGCTATGCCTACCTACATGCCTCCAGTTTTCATCCAGACCACACCACACGATCCATTGTCTACATCCAAGCTGGGAGGCAGTGACCATGAGTTGGTTGAGTTCAGGATCCTGATGCAGGGAAGAAAGGTAAGCAGCAGGATACGGACCCTGGACTTCAGGAAAGCAGACTTCGACTCCCTCAGGGAACGGATGGCCAGGATCCCCTGGGGGACTAACTTGAAGGGGAAAGGAGTCCAGGAGAGCTGGCTTTATTTCAAGGAATCCCTGTTGAGGTTACAGGGATAAACCATCCCGATGAGTCGAAAGAATAGTAAATATGGCAGGCGACCAGCTTGGCTTAATAGTGAAATCCTAGCGGATCTTAAACATAAAAAAGAAGCTTACAAGAAGTGGAAGGTTGGACATATGACCAGGGAAGAGTATAAAAATATTGCTCGGGCATGTAGGAATGATATCAGGAGGGCCAAATCGCACCTGGAGCTGCAGCTAGCAAGAGATGTCAAGAGTAACAAGAAGGGTTTCTTCAGGTATGTTGGCAACAAGAAGAAAGCCAAGGAAAGTGTGGGCCCCTTACTGAATGAGGGAGGCAACCTAGTGACAGAGGACGTGGAAAAAGCTAATGTACTCAATGCTTTTTTTGCCTCTGTCTTCACTAACAAGGTCAGCTCCCAGACTGCTGCGCTGGGCATCACAAAATGGGGAAGAGATGGCCAGCCCTCTGTGGAGATAGAGGTGGTTAGGGACTATTTCGAAAAGCTGGACGTGCACAAGTCCATGGGGCCGGACGAGTTGCATCCGAGAGTGCTGAAGGAATTGGCAGCTGTGATTGCAGAGCCATTGGCCATTATCTTTGAAAACTCGTGGCGAACCGGGGAAGTCCCGGATGACTGGAAAAAGGCTAATGTAGTGCCAATCTTTAAAAAAGGGAAGAAGGAGGATCCTGGGAACTACAGGCCAGTCAGCCTCACCTCAGTCCCTGGAAAAATCATGGAGCAGGTCCTCAAAGAATCAATCCTGAAGCACTTGCATGAGAGGAAGGTGATCAGGAACAGCCAGCATGGATTCACCAAGGGAAGGTCATGCCTGACTAATCTAATCGCCTTTTATGATGAGATTACTGGTTCTGTGGATGAAGGGAAAGCAGTGGATGTATTGTTTCTTGACTTTAGCAAAGCTTTTGACACGGTCTCCCACAGTATTCTTGTCAGCAAGTTAAGGAAGTATGGGCTGGAAGAATGCACTATAAGGTGGGTAGAAAGCTGGCTAGATTGTCGGGCTCAACGGGTAGTGATCAATGGCTCTGTGTCTCGTTGGCAGCCGGTATCAAGTGGAGTGCCCCAAGGGTTGGTCCTGGGGCCGGTTTTGTTCAATATCTTCATAAATGATCTGGAGGATGGTGTGGATTGCACTCTCAGCAAATTTGCGGATGATACTAAACTGGGAGGAGTGGTAGATATGCTGGAGGGGAGGGATAGGATACAGAAAGACCTAGACAAATTGGAGGATTGGGCCAAAAGAAATCTGATGAGGTTCAATAAGGATAAGTGCAGGGTCCTACACTTAGGATGGAAGAATCCAATGCACCGCTACAGACTAGGGACCGAATGGCTAGGCAGCAGTTCTGCGGAAAAGGACCTATGGGTGACAGTGGACGAGAAGCTGGATATGAGTCAGCAGTGTGCCATTGTTGCCAAGAAGGCCAATGGCATTTTGGGATGTATAAGTAGGGGCATAGCGAGCAGATCGAGGGACGTGATCGTTCCCCTCTATTCGACATTGGTGAGGCCTCATCTGGAGTACTGTGTCCAGTTTTCGGCCCCACACTACAAGAAGGATGTGGATAAATTGGAGAGAGTCCAGCGAAGGGCAACAAAAATGATTAGGGGTCTAGAACACATGACTTATGAGGAGAGGCTGAGGGAGCTGGGATTGTTTAGCCTGCAGAAGAGAAGAATGAGGGGGGATTTGATAGCTGCTTTCAACTACCTGAAAGGGGGTTCCAAAGAGGATGGCTCTAGACTGTTCTCAATGGTAGCAGATGACAGAACGAGGAGTAATGGTCTCAAGTTGCAGTGGGGGGAGGTTTAGATTGGATATTAGGAAAAACTTTTTCACTAAGAGGGTGGTGAAACACTGGAATGCGTTACCTAGGGAGGTGGTAGAATCTCCTTCCTTAGAGGTTTTTAAGGTCAGGCTTGACAAAGCCCTGGCTGGGATGATTTAACTGGGAATTGGTCCTGCTTCGAGCAGGGGGTTGGACTAGATGACCTTCTGGGGTCCCTTCCAACCCTTATATTCTATGATAAGAGGAGAGACAAAAGCAGTCTCCTTAGTGCCAACAAAGGGATGAATCTAGCCCTTGGGCTCTTATCTAATTCAGGGACATACTGTGAAATTAAATTTTTTAATGTTTGTACAGTCCTTTGAAGATACAGTAGTAACACTGTGCTGTATGAATCCTTAGTATTATTGTTTCTTTCCTTTCTGTTTTAACGTAGCTATAACATTGGTAACTTATTCTGATTTGCTGACAAATTTTCCACAACATGTTTTCCACAATTTCCCTTTGTAGTTTGTATGAATAAATCATTTTATGTATTATCTATTGCTGTTTAATGAAAAATAGAGATAGTGCTCATATACCATGTAGTATCTGAATATGGATTTGTTGGGAAGTTGCATATATATTTGAAAATCCACACAACTCAGAAAATGTCCAATACTCCTCATTGAAGTTTCTCTTCTACAGAATAGACACAGCACACTACCTTATTCAGAAACATTTATAAAGCCTTATTTTTTCACAACTGTAAGAGCTGGCAAAATGATTACATGGAGAAATATGTCAAAAGCAATTAGCATAGGCTATAACTCCCTATGATGTAGTAGAATTAGCATTTTGTTTTATGTGAAGCAATTTCCAATCCACAATAAACAAATGGACATCACTTCACATAAATTAGCACGGTGGTGCTATTATATCATAAAAATTCACAGATGACGTCAGTTTCCAACTGTCTGATTAACTTACAATTCTTTGACTAACTTTGCTACATGTCAGGAGTGAAACTAGAAGTAGGACTATGGGACATAACTAAATAGAAAAACAGTAAGATACACATTGCTTTGCAAGGGTCTATCATCAGAAAATGGCATCACATAATCACATTATCTTCAGGCATAGAACACAGATTACAACATGGCAGAAGACTAGCAACAACAGTGGCAGGATGCTTGGTTTTGGGTTCTTGTATAAGCAAGGCAGGTAATTTACAATTCCTGTGTCATCTGGCAAACACAGACTTAAAGTTGGCAGCCCTCGCTGAGTTTAGACTTAGCAAGCATCATGGCATAAGGAAACTATTGTTATCATCATTAATAGTGATTCACACAAGTGCAGGACTTGGGTAAAGGCTGACATACCACTGGAACTATGTATTAAGCATGTCTTTAATGGTGTGTAGGGCCTTTGGCATGTTCTCTTCATTGTGGTGAATTTCACCTGAATACCAGCATCTGTTTACCTAGAAAATAAAATAGAAATATTTCATTTTGTGTCGGAAAAATAGTAGTTATCATTTTTAGCCCATTATTCATACTTCACCAAATAATAAATAAATAAATAATAATAATAAAATCCCATTTTAATTGTAATAGATTGCTGGGACAGGTATAGTATCCATTAGGCATGAAGATGTCCCATAAAGGTCACAGTATTATTCTGGGAGCTTTGTCTAATAACTCCGGGGGGGGGGGATTATGTGAATGAGGGTGACCATCAGTGAGGATTTTGGAAAAGATGTCATCCCAAAGAGGTCATAGAATCATACAAGTTAGCGATGCAAAATACGTATTGGATCACGTTTCCCTGACAATAAAGGAATGTTTGCTGCAGAACATTTATGAATCTTCTTTTCCAGACTAGTTTAAAAAATCCCACGATTCCACCAATTTCTTTTAAGAAAGGCAAACAGCTGACATTCCCAGCTGGGCTTAAGCCACTAACTTTTCAGTTGACAGCTGAATGTGCTGGTCCAATGCACTACAGACATATAAAAAGGTCTAAAGTCTAATGAAACAACTGAAAATGTGCTAAATGAAGATTATTCCAAGGATTTTGGCCCTGGTTCTCCATTGTGTTTCACCATTTTTATGATGTAATTCTGTTGACTTCAGCACCTTACGAGAGGTACTACATGACTTGCAGTATCAGACACATATGACCAGAATGTCAGTTTTTCTTTGAATCTTGTCCTTTAGAAACTGAGTTAGAAGAAAACTCAAACTTCATCTTCTTTGGAGAAAGTATTAAGTAAAGTTAGCGTTTTCTTCTTAATTCTTAAGATTATTGGAATGTACTCTGTCAGGTTGCTGGAGGTCTTGGAGGTTGCCTGGTCCTACAGCCTTCACATGAGTAAAGTCTGCAGGATGAGGTCCAGTTGCTAGGAAAGTTATGAAGGGTATTACCTTACAGCATGTCTAGCACTTCATTTATGGTATATTTTGTAGGTCAGGCTATTTTCCATAAACTGGATTGGAAATACTTTATCTATTGTCACACTAACAAAATGAGAGCTTTCAGAAGTCCCTTCATCTGTTTCTGTATGATAGAGATAAGTCAAGCGTCAGCTATTTTACAAAGTATCAGAATATTTTTAAGAATGTTTATCTTTTTTATTAGTTATAATTCAGTTAAAAGTTCCTCCTCACTGACCAAAATAGCAATTGATTCTGTTTTCAACATGTGCCAAAAATTTTCAGGCAACTTCTTAAAGTTCTTGCAGGTAGAACAAAGAACAAACAACTTATTTACTTGGAGTTTTATGAATTGATCTACTCCACCAATCCAAACTCATCTTTTCAATATGTCTTTGGAATTTCTGGTACTGAAAACAGAGTTGTTGAATATGCCTCCTGTTATTTAAATTAAGTTTAGGTGCCCTAGTGCACATGGCTTGAGAGATCTATGACTTTATAAAACTTTAACCTTAATAGCTGTAGGATCCAAAGCGCCTGACCTGAAAACCAGAGTCAGGTTTCATTCTAGGGTACTATAGTTATAAATAACTTATCTAGTTTGAGTTAGAATGGTAATATATTGTGTGAACAGCCCAAGTAATGAATTATGATGCCCCTGGGGCCTGATTCAGCCCCTATTGGACCATGGCCATACTGTATATTTAAACTTCTGTAAGGTATTCACATATAGCTAAAATGTTCTCTGCAAATGTGTATTTTTGCAAGTTCTACTCTACTTTATAATTGCTGTCCAGAAACCCAACCTTCCCAACAGATTCATCATATAAAGACTCTTTGATAGGACAGTATTTTTTTTAACCTTTCTTTTTATGATCATTTAAATTACAGCCTATCCCGGTGGATAAAACTGACTTTATTTTAATAATGTCACTGTAGTGCATATTGCAAGAAATATTTTTAATTTTCTGTGTGCATTTAATCATAAAATTGAAAGTAAAAAATTGCACTGGCTAAAGCTGGGGATAGCTGTTGAGATCTTGTTTCCACTGAACTAATTGAAAGTTCTTTCTGATTTCAATGACATCAGAATAGCAACCATTGCAGTTAGGCAATATCCAGAATTCCCCATGCAAATTCTGCCACATAACTCAGTCCAACTCTGCAGCATCTCTATTTTCTAGTCCTATTGGCAGGGTGGATAAAAATCAATTATTTTTTTTTAAGAGTAAAAAAATTGGATTTTTTAAAATTTAAATTAAATGCAAGTTTATATATTTAAAAGTAAACCTGTTTAAAATTCAATTTGAAATTAACAACCCAGTTTAAGGTCTAAATCATTTAAATTACATGTTTTCTGCCAAGTTTTAAAGGAAGTTAGTCACCACTGAACTGGTGGAAATCACTGACTAAGCACCTGGAACCAGATTTTGTTAAAGTGCTAAACCAGCTTTTGACAATAGTAGCCTCTTTTTCAGGTGCAGAGAGAATATTTTCTTCATATCAGTTTATTCAACTAGTTCACTTCAATGACTAATTAATTGACAGTTAAGAAAGCAATTGGGAGTTGAAAAAGCAGCAAAGCTTGTTTTCCTCTTCCAATCCATGAACAAAAACAATGTATGGGAGGATGAGATTTTTATTTACTTTATCTACTTTTCTTTATTAGTTTTAAATGCAAAACATATTTTGATAAACTTTTTTTCTTACAGATCCACCACCCATATAAGGTCATTTTAGATTTTAAAATATGCTGCTTTGTGAATTTTTAATTGAATTGGAATTTCCATCCAAAAAGATCTTGAGATAAACAAGTAAAAAATTAATCATCTCATAAATAAGACATGCGTAATTCACCATTTTCTAGCATAATAAAAACATAAAAATTAAGAATTGGAATAAATGTAAGTTAAGATATACAATTGCTTAAATAAATGTGTATAGATATAAATAAAATATGTGTATAGATATAGTGTATTTGCCTGATCAGCAAATTTAGTGTAAAGTCTATATATAGTTGCAAATCAACATGTTTTAATGATTATCAACCAATGAGAAATAACCTTTCTTTGAAGTGTATCAGCCCATTTTGGGCAATAAGGGGTAACTCATCAGCTAGAAAAATTTTATTGCTACCACATTTTAGGCACATATCTGGTGGTCATCATCGGGATGGATGCAGATGCAGGAAATGGTACAGCTTTTCTATATTATGTAATGTTTAAACATCATCAGGCATCCAATCTGAAAAAATTGTTAAATCACAAAAAGGGCCCTAGCTCATACAAACATAATTTAATTTTTGCCAAAATTATCAGAAAGCTTCTAAATACAATTGATAATGCACCTATGTACTCAAAATAGTACTATTTTGGAAAGCTTGGGAAATATTTAGCCCTAAGTGATCTATTTTATGCATTTTCTCCTTCTTTTTTGCCTTCCATTAAGGCAAACGTTTGTAGTCACATGACAGTATGAGCTTCTTTTTACCATGTAATATATCACAATATTTGTCATTATTTGTAGAATGGACTGATTTGAGAAAAACATTTCTGTCTGCTATTTTTATGAAGTTATGCAGATAATAAGACCTCTACTCCCTAATTATAAAACATATATTTTATATGTTATCTGCTTGGCCAGAGACATATGTTTAAAGCACACGTGGGATGTGTAGGAGGTTGGGGCCATCTCTCCTCGTCCGTCTGGGAGGGAGGCCGCACCCCCTCACTGCAGTGCCTCTGTAGGGGTCAAGTTCAGTGGGAATTAGCACCAACAGCTCGAGCCCTCCAACAGGGCAGAGGGCCAAAAAGGTAGCCCTGGCCTGCAGTTGGGGCAGAGCAGCAAAAGAGTCTAGGGGCCCTGGTCCTCAGGTAGGCGGGGCACCAAACAGGGAGCTCTGGCTTGCAGGCAGGGGAGAGCACCAAGCAGTCTAGGGGCTTAAGCCCTCCATCAAGGCAGACAGCAAATGGTCTAGGGATTCGGCTCTCTGGCTGGGCAGACAGCAAATAATCTGACGTCCTAGCTCTGGCAGACAAATTCAGGCATCTTGGCCTTAGGTGGGGAGTCTAAGGGAGACCTGAGCCCACCTGACTCCACTGGGTTCCAGGCCAGGGCCCTAGCAGTAGTGGAGTGTTCCTCTACTGGGTCAGTGGGGATCCACCCGAAACATGCTGACCTAATTTAAGGCCACAATACAACCAGTTCCCCTGGGCTACCTCCTACTCTCCTGCTGTGGGGTACCTGTGTCTCGGGGTCATCATCTGTCTCCCCGGGATACACAAATAATCGCAGCCCTGACAGCTCCTCAGCGTCCCCAGCATCCAGCAGTTCCTCAAGGACTTTGGCGCTGTAGTGGTGTCCATTGGGCTCAAGCAGCAGGCAGGAGAAATCCTTCTCCTCTGGTGGCTCCAGCCCAACTGAGCTCAAGAGCCTGCCCTTTATACTTTTGGTTCCTGTCCCTCCTGTCTGTTTCCAGTATGGTGGGCCTGGCTCCGCCCACCAGAGGATGGGCGTGGGAGTCTCCCAATCCATGGGGGAGGGAGGCCACGTCCCCTTGCTACACAATACAACTGTAATTATCTTCTTACTACCACTGAATACAATGACAGTACATGTAAACTACTTATATAACAGTAATGATTCTTAGTAGAAGGCCTGTAGACTGTCTTGTATGAGTATATTGTGCGAATAATGAAGTATAGCTATATAACTCCTACATATAACTGAGCAACAACCCTTCAAGCTATATTTACTCACAGAAATAGTCACAGTAAATTTGCTGATAGTTGAAACATTTCTATTCCTCCTCAGAATCTGTGTCTGATGTGTTTAATACTCTGTTGCTACACTTGTCACTGTCACAGTTACGTACATCAGAGCACATCAAATCTTTGCTGTAGCATTTGCATTTCCTTGTTGCACAGGTACTCTCACAACCACACTGCACAAAGGTGAGGATTGCTTCTGGAGCAGGTGACAGCACAACCATGTTAGAAATAAGATCCCCATCCATTGTTGAGTGGGGACACTTGAAGTGATGCATGAT